ATAAGACGCACCCTTTTTCAAAAAATTTGGGGTCTAAAAACTGGGTGCATCTTATACAGTGGTTGTAGATTGTTGTCAAGTCATTTAAGAAGCGTGGCATTTCAAATGCCATAAATAGAACCGAGGAAGAGGCAATATATGACGACAGTGATTTGTCATCAGTTACAGATGAGGACAAGCTAATGGTTGGGAGTTTTGACAGTGATGAGGAGTTGTATGAATTTTATGATGACTAAAACTTGAGTTCAATAACTTTATGTAATACATTTCTTTTCAAATTTCGGGCCCCCAAATTAAGGTGCGTCTTATACATGGGAGCGTCTTATACATGGGGGAATACGGTATCTCTCAATAAACTACTTTCCCTTTATTACCTAGCTCCCGCTTGAATTCTTTCCTGCGCGAAACCAAGGACCCTCTTTCCTGCAACACTTGGATCACCTGCTTGGATGCCTACAGAGCCTGCCATGGTCTCCCGCTTGAGGTGTACGCTCTGCTCAGCTGGAATCCTGTCCTTCCTGAGGAATGCCCTTTCAGCTGTGTGCATCCCGCATAGAGGAACGTGGCCTCTGGATCTTGTCCAGGAATCACATAACCTCAGAAAACCCATGGAAAACTACAATTACAGACTGTTTCCATGCTGCAACACGCCACCCCACCATTGCCACTCTATTGTAATTTCCGGGCATTCTTTAAGGTGGTATCCTTTCAAACCCCAGACAGAAAAGAGCGCACAGCTAATTCCTCTTCTCTAGGAATTTCAAGCGTGAGGCTGATTATCCCCAGCTTTCCCCATTCCTGGAGCTGGAGAAGCCTGCTCTCCTCATCCTTTTCTCCAAGCGTCTCTCTGCAAGCCAGGAAGGTTTTTATTGCCTTTCTGTGTGACAGGAAATTGCCATGACCCTGTATCCTATACCCTATGGTTTATATTAAGCACTCTAAACTTGGCCCTCCATGCGTTGGATCTAAGAGAATGTTTTACAAGTTCAAAACAAAACAAAACAGAACAAGAGCCTGTTCTATCTCTCGTGGTTGGCTTTTGTCACTGATGTGCAGATCCTGGCCTGCTTGCCCTCCAGTCCTTTCCTGCCCTGCCCTGGCCAACTTGCTGGTCTGAGTGGGGGCGGGGAAGCATGCCTATAGGCCCCCACGGCAGCTGGCTCTGGCTGGGTTCAGCTACTGGGTGACACTAGCCGAAGGGGCGAGGGGTGGGAAGGGAGAAGTCTGAGCATTTCTCTCTGCCTCAGTGGTGTCTCTGGCAGGAGCTGCTTTATTGCACTGTGGATCCTGCCTCTGCAGTAACAGACCCTTCCGTTCACCTCTGCAGGCTCGTGGCTGTTCATCTCTGGGTGGCTTCACCATCCACTCTGGTTTCTCACCTCCTCCATCTCTTGTGACTCCAATTACCTGCATTAACTTTCCTCTGTCTTAAGTTCTTAAAGCGGTTTCTGTTTTCCTGGTTAGGCTCTAATTGTGATCCTGGCTTTCAAGACTCTTGCTTTTGAAATGGGCTTCAAGAGTTACACAATGATTCTTAGCATGGGTGCTGTTAAAATCCTAATCCTTAAGGCAAAAAAGGGTAAAAAGTTAGGGGGAAAGTCATGGTCAAACAAATAGAAAAATAAAAAAATACATTAAATATTTCAAAGTATCTCACCACCCAAGTGTCTACCGTTATTGTAGTCATTGTATTGTTACCTGAATAGACATTTTCGCTGCCCTTCCATACTTATAGGCAAAGTTCTCAGGTGTCCCAATAACCATGTGACCTTTCTTAGGTCCTACACTATGCCTCGTACATCTTCCTTCTAGTAGATTATACCCCATTTAATAGCAATTCACACAACTCACTCAGCTTAATGAAGTAATGGCATATGTGCTCACTTGCAACAAAATCGATTTTTTGAAACTGACCAAAATGTGGACACAGGAAAGAACGTTAGAACATCAGTGCTTAATGACTGGTAACATCCAGTTCACCAAAGATACTACTGGGTTGTCGGAAAAGTCATGACAAACTTTTGCAATGAAAAACATAGAAAAATAATGTCATGACTTTTCTGATAATCCAATAAAATCTGCAGATCCAAATGGGCAGACACAGAGAGCGAGCACCCAGATCCAGAGAGGTGATGTGCATGAGCAAGTAGATCCTGTGTTACAACAGGGAGTAGTGGCACCATGGGAACTAGAAAGCAGGGAGGTGGCCTCTGCCCAGCTCCAGCTGATGATGCTGTGTGAGCATGGGGACCTCTTGTTACGAAATTTTACAATATTTGAAGAGAAGCCAGAAATTTAGAGTGCATGCGAAAATCTCATGATTTGTACAGTTATATCAACTAACTCAAAACAATTTTAAAATGTGTAAATTTGACAAACATATCTCGATAGGACCCCATATCACCAGTTTGCAATCTCTGTCCTAATTAGACTTTACACTTGGGAACAATATACATTATGCGTTCAAATAATGCTGCCTCCACTCAATAACATTTGTGGATATTTGGGAGTTACCTCCGTAACGTGGTCTGTTCTTTTGAACGTTCTCATTTGTATGAAATATACATTCTTTAATAGTAGGCCAAATTAAAAAAAAAAAGTCAAATAATAACATGAATATTTTTTATAAACAAAGAAAAAGTGGGGAAAATGAATTTGGATTTATTTTTTACCTCTCCCTTTCACTATCCCCACACATATTTATTTCTTCATATTTTGAGTTTTAAAAATATTTTGAGTTTTAAAAATATCTCTGGCATTCTCATTGCTACCATCCATGTTGAAGAGATGAGTCCCTCTAGTAAACCATTCCAATAACTTCCCATTTCTTTGGGCTCCCAGACTATCCCATATGCATCTTATTATGGAGCAGTTAACATGTACCAAGCACAGTGCTAGGGGCTCAAAGATAAACTGGAAAAAACCTCTGCCCTTGAGAAATTCACATTATAGACATGTTAGTAGGTACCAGGGCTGTGGCTGGGGGGGGGTAGGGAGACCCGATTTCGCCCGGAAGAAAGGAATGTGGACGTGCAGCCTGGTGCATTGGGAGCCTCAGAGAAACCAGGGCTCTCCCTGACACTCCCCACATACACCCCCACCTCTGACTGAATTAGCTATGATCTCTCCATCTCCACATTTAAAGCAAGATGGCCCTAAACTACATATCAAGTCTTACCTCTGCCAAGTAAGCTGTACTATTGGCTGTTTCCTGCACACATTATCGTTTGTTTAGGCAGCGCTCTCCACCTCAGCCTGTTGAAATGCTGCTTATACTTCAAAACTCAAATAGTGTACTACCTTATCCAAAAATAATCTAGTAACTTTTGGGGGTTATTCTTTGAGTTGTCCATGGAACTTCTTGTCTGTACTTCGACATTTATATTCTGCTTTGAAATACAGATTCTTGAGGTCTTGTCTTATCCCCACTAGACTACAAGAACATTTAGGACATCATCTGCATCTTCTTTTTGATCATCTGCAGGGCCTAGCATTAAGCTCTGCACAAAGCAGGCACTGGAGATTTCTGTCTTGTATTGGTGAAAAGATGAGTTCTCCATCTAGTGGTAAAACTGAAAAATTGCATGCAACTTTTGCCTTAACCTAACAGGATACCTTGTACCCCCTTCAAAAAGAGTGTCTCATTGATACTATAGACTGCTTCAAGTTTAATCGATATTGAGGAATGCACAGTATTACATCTCAAGAAGACATAAATGTCTCTTAAGGCATTTTTGATCAAAACACTTTGTCCAAGAAATTTATCTAGATGATAAAAGATGATACAAAAAAATCACAGATTTCTTTAAATGGGTAAGCTTCCTTTACCATGTGTAGATAAGTGCTGCCGTTGCTTTCTTACCCATGGCATAGCTATCCTGAATAAATGCAGATAGTCTAATGCAGATATTCTCAGACTGTTCTAGTTCAGCCAACTTGTATTTGTAAAATTTGTGAACTAAACAATTCTCTACAAGACCTTGGTCCTCGGTACCAATTAGTTCACATGATGGGCAGCCCATTCCAAGCCCATAGCTTCCTTAGCAAAGGTCCGTCTTTACCTTAAGTGAGCACTTTCCATTGTTCTTATGCTTTAGGATAACATACCTTTGAAATGTCAGAGTAATTTTCTTTTCCAGGTCCCTTGGAGGCATAACCACTGGCACCAGAGCACAAAACAAGAAACTCCTCATTGTTATCTTGTTGCCCACACATCATCTCTATTTACTGTAAAGTTCAATGTTAACTATCTTGTACTCACTAATGTAAAAGAAGTATGTATCTCTCCATTTCACTTTTTATCCAATCCTAGAGATTTCCCTGCTTTGCGTTCTCTTGTCTCCTTAATCTACCACCAATGGACTTTATGTAACCTTCCTTAAATTTTGTCCTTTGATTCTAATTGCGTAAAAAGAACTGCAAATGCCATTCTCCAGGGCATTTTCTCAATCCCTTGAGATCTAGCTTCGGAGCATGTCCTCAGATTTGGCTTAGCTATTCAATTCTCTGTTAGTTTCCCATCTCTTGAATCTGGGCTGACTGTTTGACTTGTTTGACTGGTAGAATGTGGTGGAAATGACACTATACAAGTTTAGAGACTCAGTTTCAAGGAGTCTTGCAGCTCCTGCCTTTTCCTCCTGGGAACACTTTCCTAAGACCACCGCATAAGGAAACTGAATATGAGAAGCCATGTGGAGGAGAACCAAGATACCCCAGCTGACAACTAGTGCCAACTGCCAGCCCTGTACGTGAGGCCACCTTGGACTTTCCAGCCCAGCTAACCCTGTGAGTCATGGGTTACAGACCTATGAGTGAGCCCAGGCAAAACCCCTACCTTTTAATAAAAGAACCCCAAAGAACTTGAAGCTATCTTTAGTCCATCACAGTATTTCTGTTGTATTCATCTATTGCTTTGTAATTAGCTATAGCAGAACTTAGCAGTTCAAAACAACCCCCATCTGTTTACTCACAATTCTGTAATTTGGGTTTGTTGCACTTACCAAGACAGTTCTTAGCCTGGGGCTGGGAATTCAAGATAGATTTTCCCACATGTCTGGTGTCCCATTGTGACTCCTGGAACATCTAGGGCTTGGCTGGTGTGACCCTGTAATAAGATATACATATATTTGATCTTTGCCCCTAGTTCTGTCACAGAGCTCCTAAAACTCTTGTAATTTCCTGAATGATGGGCTGAGGGGGGTGTCTGTTATTAAGCATAATAAACCCCTTTCAACCATACCTGAGTTTATGTTAATGTGATGACTGGTGACCCAAAAGCTCCTAGATAGCTTTAGGATAGGGGCTGGTCACCAGAGGTACCAACTATGTCATTAGAGGGTTGGAACTTTCAACCCCAACCCCTCACAGACCCCACAGGATAAGGGCTCAATCCCACAAGACTGCCCCCCACCTCCAGGGAGGGGAGAGGGGCTGGAGTTTGAGATGATCACCAATGGCCAATGATTTGATTAGTTATGCCCGCATAACGGAGCCTTCACAAAATGACTAAACTGTGGCATTTGGAGGGCTTCTAGGTTGGTGAACACATCCATGGCTGGGAGGGTTCACACTCCGACTTCATGGGACAGAAGCTCCTGTGCTAAGGACTCTCCCAGTCCTCACCTTATGAACCTCTTCCTTTGGCGATTCCTGTGTATCCTTTATAATAAGCGAGTAAAAGTAAGTAAAATGTTTCCCTGAGTTCTGTGAGCCATTATAGCAAATTATGATACCTGAGGAGGGGGTTGTGGGGTCTCCCAATTTGTAGCCAAGTTGGACAGAAGTGTGGGTAACCTGGGAACCTATTACTTGTGATTGACGTCTGAAAGTGGGGGCAGTCTTGTGTCAGAGTTGAATTAAATTGTGGGACACTCAGTGGTGTCCACAGAGAACTGGAGAATTGCTTGGTGTGGGAAATCTACACACTTGGTGTCAGAAGTGCTGTTAGTAGAGAAAGAGTTTTCCTTTAGCCAGGCATCTTTCAGCTCTCTATCTGGGTAGCTGAGTCTCTTTCCACGTGGCTTGGGATTCCAAGAGGGCAAAAGTGGAAATTGTCTTGAAAAACCTGGCACAGTGTCACTTCAGCTGCATTCTATTTGTTAAAACAAGTAAAAAAATCCAGCCCAGATTCAAGCAGGGGGCGGAAATAGACTCCATATCTCTATGCGTGAAACAGAAAAGACTTTGTGGCCATCTTTAATCTACCACGGTGTTTCCTCTGTCCATAAATTACTCGCATTTCTCCCACATGCGAAATACATTCATGTTCTCCCAAGACCTCCCAAAGTCTCATTTAATATGGCAGCAACTCAGTGTTCAGAATTCCATCATCTGGATCAGGTTTGGATGTGGATGAAGATGCTTGGATGTAGCTTGTCTCAACCAGGAAAACTGTGATTTAAAAATTTAAGTTATCTGCTACCATAACTATTCCCTGCAACTGAACCCCACATATAATGGTGAGAGAGGGATAACAACAATAGACACTCCTATTCCCAGGGGGACGAAACCGAAGGACATAGCAGGCACAGGTCCTTAACCATTCTGAAATCCAGCCACACGCTCGTTGCCAGTTTCCTTAGGGCCTGTTTCTGCTCCCTGGAAATGCTTCCTTAATCTAGTTGTTGGCCCTGTCCTCAAGCATTTTTTTTTCTCTCTAGGAGAAATGGCTCATGTTTGCAGCTGAGTAGTTTCTCAGTCTGCTTCTTGCTCATGTTAGGTTGGGGACTCAGAGGTCTTGTTTCATTTTGAAAGTCTTTGTTCCTTTAGCCTGAGTGTGTACTATTCCTTTTCTACTTCATTTGACAAAAGTCATCCACACATCTCTTGAAGACGAACCCCCTCTTCTTTGAGCTGTGACGTTTTAAAACAGGTCTTACAGACACAGCCTCGACTTGATCTTGACTAACGTCACATTTTGCTGGCAGCATCCTCAGGCCATGTCTTACTTTGAAAACTCTTGGGGGTAGGAAGTTCCGGAAAAGAGTTTTATTTTCCATCCCAGCAAGCCTAAGATTGCAAATGTTTTTTCTAAATTCTGCTTTTGAAAACTGAATTCCTTCTTTTTTGGTTCACCTCTCCTTCCCATATTTTATCACAGGCAGCTAAAAAGAAGCAAATTAGCCCCTTCAGCATTCTACTTGGAAATTTCCTTTGGCCAGATCCACAAGTTCATTAAGTACACTTTCTGTAGTCATCAGCTTCACTAATTGTTGAACTACTTAACAACACAGATGACCACCCTTCCAGCCTCCAATCACAATTTCCTCATTGCTCTTACCACTCTTCCAGCCTTCTCTCATGGCTCAGTCTCAGAATCACCTGTTTTCAGTTTCTGTTACAGCTGCACACCATTTCCAGGCACTACTTTCTGTTTCAGTTATCTATTGTTGCGTAATAAACCACCCCAAAGTGTAATGGCTAAAACCAATGATTTACAATTTCTGATGATTTTGTGGGTTGACTGCTGTAATGTGGTCCCATTCATCTAGGAGCTTGCTGGGGCTAGACTGTCCAACATGCATGCATCCTCCTGCCTGAACCTCCATCATTCAGTGGTCTAGCCTAAGTCACTTTTCAGCATGGAGAGAACAATCCAAGAGAATGTGCAAGTGCTTATCAAGTCTCCTTTCATCACACTTGCTAATGTCCCATTGGCCAAAGCAAGGTCCAGAGTCAATGTTTTAGGGGAAACCAAGGGCATGAATACTGGAAGGAATGATTTATTGGGAAGTCACTGTCTACCACATTCTCTAGCTTTCTATCTTACCATTTTCTCCCTTGTTCACTATGCTGAACGTACACTGTGTTCCTAGCTGTTCCTTGACACAGAAATCTCTTCTTTGCCTCAGTCTTTGTTTTTTATTTTCTCTACCTGGATCACTCTATCTCTAGTCTTCAAACTGCTGTTTCTTATATATTCTTCCAATAGCAGCTGAAATGTCACTCCCCTCATTACTATCACTTTGCCTTCTTCCTTTCTTTCTATCTGAAATGATCTTGTTTATAAATTTTCTAAGTTGTTTATTTTTTTTCTTCCACCAACCAAAATACAAGATCAAGAGGTCTTGGCTACTATGTTCACAGCTGTATTCCCAGCACACCAAATAGGCTGAACATATAGTAAGTACTTAATAAAAATTTCTGAATGTATGATGAATGAACAGATAGATAAATGAAGTACCTAAATCTTGGTGTAAAGAAATTTATAATAAATTTTTTTTTACAAAAATTATATCAAAGTTTTAAATAACTGTTTACTTCTAAAAACCAGGAGTGATCCAAAATAGTCTTTTTTGGAGAACTGGACTTACCATTGATTATAGCTTGCTAAAATATTTAAAATAAATTATATAGTTAAGATTTGCTTCAAAATAATTTGGATAACATGGGGAAATAGGTTGGGGTACAGATGAAATGAGGTTGACTCTGAATTGATACTTATTTAATCTGGGTTAAGGGTACATGAAGGTTCCTTATACTGTTCTCTTATATATTTGTTGGAAATTTCGACAATAAAAGTTTTAAAATTACATGTAGATGAATAAGGGATTGAAAAGCATTAGAAAGACTGTGAACATTTTTCATAACTATTAACTAATTTATTCATATTTCCACTTTTCCTATTTCTCTTAGAAAGAGATTTCTATCCTTACATGATGGAAAGGAAGCATTTTTTAAAACTCATCTAGAAACATCATTGGGTAAATGATCTGAGGCTTATTTAGATGTTGCACTTAATCTGTAATGGACCCCATTTAAAGATATTCCTGGAACTTTGCATGAGAACAGATTTCTGTAAAGCAAATCATTTCCCCGTTGATTTCCATTCAGTTATAAAAGCTTGCTCGTACTTCCTGTTGATTTCTCTGTCTGCTAATTATAGCTCAAAGCAGGGGATGGGAAGTCCAGAAGCTCATGTAAGCACTGGCACTTTGCCTTGATCTGGGGCTCAAGGCAGGTATCGGATGCAACACATTTTTGTGTTTTCTACCTGGATCAAGAAGAAGCCAAGGAGAGCAGGAGTTTGTGCCAACAGATGCCATCCTCAAGCTGATAGCTGCTTTGCCCGGCTCTGATATCCGTCTGGGGAGCTGCTCATCTGTTGGCAGAATTCAATTAATAAGGGACTTTTAATTATTATTATGCTTTCCATATGAGTCTTAGTTGGAGGGAACACAAAAGAAATGTGGCTTTGTTCCTGGTATCAAGGAGCCTGAAGACTTAAAGGGCTCAAGACCAAGTCCAGCCCTAATACGTTACCTGATATTTTCCACCCAGAACTAGAAGAAAACCATTATAAGTTTGAGAGTGATCATATCCTGGGCATTCATTTAAGGAATCAGGAGCATGGAGCCAAAATCATCCAGTGACAAAGCCTCCCGGTGGAATGAGCCATGGAATGGATGATGTAGCTGTGTGGGCAGAAGACCAAGTGGCGCGTTTCCAGGTGGAGCAGGATGTTGTACTTCTGTTCCTAAAGACCCCAGATTTATAACCAGGCAAATCTGTTTAGGAAGACTATTCCGCTGGGCATTTCTGCCTCTGGAAGAGAGATAAGAAACCAAACGTGAATTTGTTTGAATGGAAGTCTCTTTGCTGGGATGTGTCCTCACCCACGACTCACACACACCCTTCATGTAATGTCCCCATTACGAAGGTGGTTGAAGAAAGGCCAAGACACACATGGAGGTGTGGAGGGAAGAAACCTGGGGTAAGAGAGGCATATTGAGTTTAGAGTGCTTTCAGCTGCAAGTAACAGTGAACTGTAAGTATGGGTGGCTTCATCAGTCCCGCCTCCCAAGGCAGCTGCACATTCTCAGGGAAGCCCTGAATTTGTAGTGGAAAAAACACTGGCCCAAGGGGCCAGGCAACGTGAGTGCTAGTTTTGACTCATTCCTTTCCTCACCTTCCAAACCCTGTTTTCCCATCTTAATAAGGAGGGACATTGGTCTAAATTCTCTAATATATCTGTTCTAAAGTTCCAGGAGTCAGTAAATAAATGATAAGATAACAACTTGTAGACTATTGGAAAGAACAAACTTAGGAGGAGTTTGTAGTTAGGGCTTCTGGAGAACTAGGGCTTTCTGTGGATGAGTGGCAGATCTTTGAGAAGTAGGAGGAACTATTCTCACTTAGAGATTATGTTCAAAGCCCCAAACTCACCTTGACCTTTTGGAATAAGTTAAATGAAGGTATCTACCGCAGTGCTCGAAAATGTTACTCTCCTGCTCCCTTCCTATAAGTGAAGCCCACGTTCCCTATGTATGACCAACTCATCCAGACAAGAAAGAGGACTTATGATTTGTGAATGCAAACACAGGCCTATGTCAAGACCTCTTTTAAAAGAGTACTTTAAAAAATATTAAAAATATGTTAGCATAGCATAATTTTGCAAAGACTCCAGTAGACTCTGGTCACCAAACGAAAAATAAAAAATATTATATTTTTATTGGAATTCAGTTGGATTTGAGAATGTTCCCATTTACAGACTCACACAATAAAATAGTAGCTTAATCAAAGATCTGTTTAATGCAAATATTTGGCATCCTACCAGAAAGACCATAAGGCTACTGTCAAATCAGTTAAATTTCTGTTACAAGCAGTAAGGGAAGCCATCTGCTGTGGTTGGCAAAGAAATTAACATCTTTGAAAATGCAAATACATCTCAGTCTCCCCCTACAGATCTCAAAGCCAGCATCTTGGCTATAGACAATTTGGATCTAATATTTAAGGACTTCAACTACAATAATATTCAATGTCTTTAAATAGACAAGAAATCTTAGATAACAAATGCTCTATTTATTTGCAATTTACGAAGGGTGACAATTTCTTATCTTAATACTTTGTGCCTTCTTGAGAAACTCTATTTGAAATCATTAGTGGCAATTCAACTCAGCAAGTGAGCATCGTGCCCTTGCTATGGACAAGTGGTTGGGTTTTGTGCTGTGAGGCATATAATGAAAGAGGCCTTTCAGGAGCTTCCAGTCTAGTGGGGGTGTGGAGACATCCAAACTGGCCCATACCAGGCTATCATGGACGCTAGGGTCCACTGCCACAGGGGTCTTCTTATTTTATAGGCAGGGATGGCAAAGAAAGGCTTCCCCTCAGATGGCAGTTATGGTGGATTTTGAAGAAAAGTATGACTCATCAAAAAAAAAAAATACAGAAAACAACTTGAGCAAGACCGTAGAGGCATAGAAGTGTGTGCTGTGTTCAGGAAACAGCAAGTGGTTTTCTCTGGCTAGGTACATTTTGTAAAATGAAGCTCAAACAGTGGTGTGAAACAATGGTGGGCGTCTATTATGTTTTTGGCCTGGCTTTGGTTCCCCTTCTTCTGGAAACGGCACCTTGATTTTCCTTCAGGGAAACTACCCCTGCCCTCTTCTCAGCTAACGCAACAGGAAGCTGATTGCGCAATGCCATGAACACCATCCAAAGGAGTGTAAGCTGTATATTTTAAAAATCTTATTTAATAGCATGAGGAATCATAAAAACCTTTTAAAATGAGAAATGTTCAAACGTATACAAAAGTAAATACACACACACACACACACACACACACACACACAATGAATCTCTATAAACCCATACCCAGAGTAAACAATTAACCAAGATTTTATCATTTTTCCTCTGCCCTTTACCAAAGTATTTCAAAGTCAATCCCAGATATCCTGTGTTATCACTTCTGCATATTTTAGTATGCCTCTCAAAAAAGCATGGACAATTTTCTTACAAACAAAATGCATTATCATACCTAATGATTCCTTGAGATTGACTAATACCCAGTCCATATTCAAACTTCTCTAATTATCTCTGCTGGTTTTTTGAATCATGTTCTAAACAAGGTACACACAGGAAAAGCAAGAACCAGAGAACCACAGAATTAGAACATCACAGTTACTCTTGCATTGTCTTATACACACAACAGTCTCAGTAAATCCACCCATTCGGCCACCACCGATATTATTGAAAAGTTTAAAATTGTTTGTATATACTCTCTCCATTGTCTATAGTTGTATTTTATCTATGTTTTCAGAGCATATATCCAACACATAGCATATGCTCTCCTCTTTAACCCTACTAGAGTCTTGGTTTTTTACAAGACAATAGATGTTTAATGCTCACCACCAGCCCTTGGGTCAACATCTCTCTAGTTATTTGGACATCTGAAGTTTGTTTTACAGTAGATTCTTTAAGAAATCTGCAAGAAAATAATATCAAATGACTGTGCCCTCACAATGTTTCCAAAAGAGGATGTTGTCAAACTTAGATTTTTTTTTTGCCAACCTGATAGGTGAGAAGTGGTATAGTTTTAATTTGTATTTCTCTTATTATGAGTCAGGTTGCACATTTTTTTTCACGTTTAAGTATCATTTTTTTTTTCCTGTGAACTGTCTCTTCATCTTTTGTCCACTTTCTATTGGCTTTCTCCCTTTCCCCATTTTTAGGAGTTCTTTCCTTATTAGGATTATTACCCCTTTCTATGGGATATGGGTTACATATATCTCTTCCTACCTTGTCATTCGTTGTTTGACTTATAGGGATTTTGACATGCAACCTCATTGTATGTTTAATACCTTCTAGGATTAGACACTCAAGCCGTTTCTTTTCAGATTTTTGGGGGGCTATAATTATTTATGGTCTCATTTTAAATGTATACTCAACTCATCTAGCTCTAGAAAAAAATTAATAACATTTTTGTTGGGATCATTATAAATTTATCAATTAACTTGGGGAGAATTGGTATCTTTATGATGTTGAGTCTTCCCATGTAAGAACATGGTTTCTCATTCGATTTGCTCTGGTCTAACTTGTGTCTTTCAGTAGAAGTGTATTAAAAGTTTTCCTTATATAAGTTTTGCATGTTTCTTATAAAGTTTGTGCCTGGATATTTTACCTTTTTTTGTTGCTAGTATTATTCCTTGCATTATATCTTCTAGCTTTGTTTATATATATGTAGAATATTGACTTCTGAATATCAGAAGCTTTTGAGTTAAGGATTTCTATGGTGACACTGTACAGAAATTATTAGAGAAATGAGAGATAACTCAGTATTTCAAATGAGAAATGAATCCATGTACTAGGGTGGGGTGGGGAGGGAAAGGAAGAAATAAAGAGATATATACCTCAAAATATGGGTGGGAAACTCATTTGATGTTAAGGAGAAGATGAAGGAACGGGCACATGAGCTTTCAACTGGATGACTGCAATGATGACAATGTTGTCAACAGATAATAGGAAGAAGAGAAGGCTGAGGAAAGAGAGAATTAATTTCAACGCTGCACATTTAGATTTTGAGACTAAAAGTCAAATCTGAACATTTAGAACAGTAGAATAAAAAAAGCCAATGGCAGAATATGAAAGGATTTCTGTATTTAAATAATAGGCAGGGGGAGCTGATGATCCCTGAAAGAGACCAAGAACGAGAGGTCTGAGGTAGGAAGTGAATCAGAATACAAAGTTATAGAAACCAAAGGAACAGTGTCACGGGGTTTACTAATTATAAAATAGCCAGCAATTTTTGAAACAGCCATTTCAAAACTGTTATGAGGGTGAGATAAGATTGTGGAAGATTAGGTAATCATATTGACCAGGGGTTGGTCTGTGTAGAAAATTTAAACTGTGTGTGTATTTCAAACATGTGAAATCCAAATACAAGATGATTTAAATAATCACGTAGGTATCAGTTACACAAATATGCTCAGATGACAAGAGCTTAGCTTAAATTAAAATTTATTAATGGCAATTTGTTTATGGCCATATAACCCTAATTCAAAGTTCAGCCCTTTGTCTGAATAACTTTCTTACTTTACCTCCTGACAGATGTGGCTTTAAGTAAAACACATTTAAGTGCTGAAAAGCTTGTCCCACTGCTCCATAACGTCCTTTTATGCAGGCATTTATAACAATCATAATAGTGTATACTTAGGGTTTACAAAATATTGTCATATCTCACTGAACTTCACCAAAGATTCTGGGAAGTAGCTAGGACAGGAATCACTATTCTTAATAAAGTGCAGAAAGGGGAAAGAACAGAACCAGATCTAGGCTGTAGATGTTCTTGACTCCCAGCCTCCAGGTGTATGTTCTGAGTCTGAGTTATGAGTAGGAAACGCTTATTCTAGGCATTTTAAGAAGAAAAAGACTTAATGTAGGCAATTAGGTGCTTATACATAAATGGACGAACAAGATTTAGACTGTGCCTCTAGAAATCACTCCCAGAAGATTGACCATCAGGGAAATGAATTCATACCTGGAATCACTGGAGATCAGGACGCCAGCCCAGGAAGTTGCTGCTGCTGCTGCTGCTGCTGCTGCTACCATCACTGCCGCCACTCGACTGCATTGCCGTTCACAGAACAGGTAACCTGGCA